TACCACTCCTCCTGCAATTTTCATAGCATTTAGACAGGGGGGATGCGCCGGAATTATTGATATAATGAATAGTTGTTGTTTACTAAGCTATTGGGAGTGACCCAAAGATAGTCATTGCCCAAGGTCAAAGCCTTCAGTGGAGTTCTGACCTTGACTGACTTTCTTAAAGTAGATTTTTGGTAAGATAATGAAGCTCTGTTTGACCCGTGAGATTAACACATTTTCCCCTTGTACACTGCATTGAGTTGAAAAAGATGTGATCTTTATGTATTTTTTTTGAGGTTTTGCCACACAGAAGAGGTAGTTCAGGGGCTCCATGCTGAATGGATTTCATGTGCAACTAATTTAGACTAATTCTGTATGCAATTTCAAACTAAAAACAATAAATAGTTTCAGTTCAGTCTAAAGAATAGGGGCCTGTCTTCATAACATGTAAAGATCTGTTTGCTGAATTTCAGAAATAGTCCTGTTTCTAACTCATTTCATATTTTAGTGCACCTAGCACATGAGCCATATATATTGTAGAAAATATGGTCAAGGAGTATATTTGATCCTTGGCCAAGTACCACTTTGCAGAAATGTAATAACAAATGACAAGGGAAAAGATTCTCTGGGCCCTGAGTTGGCTCCTTCAGAACCCTGTTGTTTTTGGTAGCTCAGGACATGAGTCTATCCATCCCAGGTAGACTGGGAGGAGTTGACCAAGGCTGAGGTTCTTCCCTAGGCGAGTAACCACAGGAAGGTAAATTGGTCGAGAGCCTGTAGCTGATGGATGGAGCTATTGGTGCAGATAGCAGCACCATTCTTGGTGTTTCAAGAAACAAGGACATGGCTGTAGTCATATTTTGCTCCACATATTTTTCCTTAAAAATCATATTAAATGAAGTTAGCCAGACCCAAAGAAATATGGGTCCCATGGTTTCCCTTATTTGCAATAATTAGTATATGTCTAGGATAATCTTAGCAGATGAGCAGAATTAGCTCAATAGCTACGTAGATAGGACCACATAAGATGATGCTAAGTGAAATGAACTCCAAGACATGGACACAAGAGGTTTTTCTTTGTTGTTGTTGTTTTTAATGTACTGTGGGATTTTTTGTTTCTTTTGTGTGTCCTTCCCCCTGCCGTCTACCCCTGTTGTCATTGTATTTGACGTTGGTACCTGGTATCGTACATATGCTTATTTGAATTAGGGAAGGGAAGGGAACAGCAGAATGGTGAGACAAAGGACAGGGAGAACCAATCCAGCAGCCATATTCACAAGTCAGTACGTTGGAAACCATCTGTACCACTGGGGGAGGAGGGGGAGAGGAGGAGAAAAAGGAGGAAAGGGGTAACAGGTTTGACAAGAAATCTACTTACTACCTTACTGTGTAACTGTCACCCCTCCGTACATCACCTTGACAATAAAAAAACACAGCTAGTCTCCCAAGGTGTACCAGAAAAGAAGCCCTTTTGGGGTCAGGTGGAGCTGGGGTGTGCGGTGCTCCGGGCCTCGGGCAAGTCTCTTGAAGCGCCCCAAGTTCTTCATTCTCGGCCCCGGGGTAATGAAGCAGCCTGTGTGGAACTCAGCTATGGCTGCCAGTCCGGCGAGTCCAGGGTGCGTGGGGTGTGTGCGGGGCCGCGTGCACAGAATCCACCCCAAGCCGTAGGTGACGGTGGACACACTGGGTACGCTTCCCAAGTCTTTTCTCTAGGACAGCACTCATCAACAGATAAACAGAGACGCTGGGCACGGAGGGCCGCGCCCCGCGCGCGAGGACTGGGACGGGGCGAGAGGACCAGTGGCCGGGACCCCGGCCCTGGGGGACGGCAGGGAGCCCACGGAAAGGCTCCTGGGCCGCTGGGCCGGGGTCAGGGCGCCCTCCAGGGGTGCCAGCCGCGGCCCCTGCGCGCGGTCACCGGGGTTTCACGTCTGGCGGGGTGCTGTGGGCTGGGTCGCGGTGGAAAGCAGAGGAGCTCACTGGTGTGCATGGTGCTCCGCCGCCCAGGGGACAGGGCAGCCCGACCCTGGTCCTCCCCAGACAGGCTGTCGACCCGCTGGCCAGGCGCTGGGGAGCCAGGCGCGGTGGATCGCGGGAGCCAGGCGGGGTCCAGGCAGGTTCCAAACGGGGTGGACGGCGGGGTCCAGGCGGGGTGGACGGCGGGGTCCAGGCGGGGTGGACGGCGGGGTCCAGGCAGGTCCAGGCAGCAGTCCAGGAGGGGCGGACAGTGCGTCGTCCCAGGCCCTTCCTGGGCACTGCTCAAGGCCTCATGGAGGTGGAAGGCCCGGGGCCTTCCCACCACGCGTGTGGCCCCGCCCCGCCTTCCCACCCCGCGCGCCCCCGTCCCGCCTTCCCACCGCCCGTGCTACAGTCCCGCCTTCCCCACCCCACGTGCCCCCACCCCGCGCGCCCCCGTCCCGCCCTCCCACCGCGCGTGCTACAGTCCCGCCTTCCCACCGCGCGTGCTACAGTCCCGCCTTCCCACCCCACGTGCCCCCACCCCGCGTGCCCCCACCCCGCGCGTCCCCGCCCCGCCTTCCCACCCCGCGTGCCCCCACCCCGCGCGCCCCCGCCCCGCCCTCCCACCCCGCGCGCCCCCGCCCCAGCTTCCCACCCCGCGCGCCCCCGCCCCGCCTTCCCACCCCGCGCGCCCCCCGCCCCGCGTGCCCCCACCCCGCGCGCCCCCGCCCCGCCTTCCCACCCCGCGCGCCCCCGCCCCGCCTTCCCACCCCGCGCGCCCCCACCCCGCGTGCCCCCACCCCGCGCGCCCCCGCCCCGCCCTCCCACCCCGCGCGCCCCCGCCCCGCCCTCCCACCCCGCGCGCCCCCGCCCCGCCTTCCCACCCAGCGTGCTACAGTCCCGCCTTCCCGCCCCGCGTGCCCCCGCCCCGCGTGCCCCCGCCCCGCGTGCCCCCGCCCCGCGTGCCCCCGCCCCGCGTGCCCCCGCCCCGCCCTCCCCCGCCCCGCGTGCCCCCGCCCCGCCCTCCCCCGCCCCGCGCGCCCCCGCCCCGCCCTCCCACCCCGCGCGCCCCCGCCCCGCCCTCCCACCCCGCGCGCCCCCGCCCCGCGTGCTCCCGCCCCGCCTTCCCCCGCCCCGCGTGCCCCCACCCCGCGCGCCCCCACCCCGCGCGCCCCCGCCCCAGCTTCCCACCGCGCGCGCCCCCGCCCCGCCTTCCCACCGCGCGCGTGCTGCAGGCCGAGGCCCCTCGGAAAGCTCTGCCCCTCGTCTTCCTCGTTCTTCTTGGGGAGCCTTTGCAGCCGGGCACACACAGTTTGGAACTGGCCCGTCTGCACTGCCGACAAAGTTGTTAGAGCCGCCGCTGGTCCCACCACCCGCGAACCCGTCTCCACCTTCGGGACCCAGGCGCTAGGTGTGACTTTGCTCCGTATAAACCATAAACCGTCAGAGCAGGTCCTGTGTGCTGAGCTTGCTGGCCCCTCGCAGTGCGGTGTTTATCACTCGACGTCGCTAAAGCCAAGAAGAGGTGTCAAGAAAGCAGCAATTAACCCTGACAGAAACCTACACTTCTGTCCTCTCTCCCATTCCACACCGAGGGCCAGGTTTTCATCTCTGCAGAGTAACACTTACAAAATACATTGCGAATCCTTACGTTATAAAACTTGGCATCTTTATTGGGTTTTAAATTCACAAAGTTTGTCATCATGACATTAATAAAGGCGGTTAACCACACGACAGTCTAAATGTCCTTAAACATTCTTTCCACTAGTGAAACAAATTCAACCACATAAGACTAAAACCTTTTGTTGTTTTTCTCACTGTATGTGCACTGTTTTTAGTAGGCCAGATAGTATTTGGGAGGCTGAAAATATTCACCCACAATAAGAAATGCCTGCTGCTTATTATGCCTAGATGGTTCTGATAATACCATTAAAATTAAAACAAATTTTTATGTCATGACATGAAATCTTGCTCCCTCCTCCACAACAACAGTAAGATTGAAACAAATAGCCATGAAGCAATTTTAGAAACTTAGAAAGTCAATTGTTTCACTGCAAATGTTTCAGAATAAGATTGTTTATTTTTCAGTCTTGAGAATGCTGGAATGTTGATACTTGTTAGAAACCATCAGAGAGGTTTAATTATGAAATTGGGCAAGGTTCCCCTTTTACTATTAAAAATATAGTATTTGAAGGCTATTTGTTCTGGAAAATTGAACGCAATGTAAAGCAGCCTCTGTGTGGCTGCTGGTTCTGGTAAGCCCTTCAGGACACAGGGCCCTTATTTTCTGTGTGACTGTATTTTGGAATGCCTCCCCTGGAAACCCAGCAAACGGTGATCATTTCATTCATATCATGAGAAACGGGCTGGTTTGTCTGTGCAGAGAAGATTTTAAGAGCAAAATATTTAGTCTTCACAACTGTGTACAGAAGCATGAAATAGAATTTAGGAGCAGTGGTCTCCGAATTTCTCAGCCTCCAAATTTCCTGTCCTTTTTGCACACCTCACCAGCACAGGGTGCACTGAAGTCCATTGTGTGCCAAGCACTTGCCTAGCTCTCTCTCTCTCTCTCTCTCTCTCTCTCTCTCTCTCTCTCTCTCTCTCTCTCTCTCTCTCCTTCCCTCCCTCCCCCCTCTCTCTCTTGGATTGTCAGACTCTGCTGAGTGTATAGCAAGGCTGTTGCACCCTTTTTAATTAAAAAGTACTTTTATTATCTTTAAGTAATTGTGCAAAGGAGCTTCAATTCAATATGTCAGTTTACCAGCTCACTGCGTCTTGATCACTGCAGTGTCCCCTTCCATCATCCCACCCATCCCCTCATCTTTCCTAGTTTGGTTTTTAAATATATAAGGTGAATATTATGACTGCATCTGCCCACTCTTTTCAGCGCAAAAATGACTTTTCTAAATTGAAATAATGGTGTCTTCACTGTATTATTCATTCCATGGATGTAAAAAGTTCCTGAGGAATTTATTTTAAATTTGTTTGTAAGGAGTTTCCTCTCTCCGTTTGGATCCAGTACTAATCGGCTACCTTCTCTGTGGTTTTCCTACCAGGTAAAACGACCTACAAGAGTTTTTACGTTTATTGCAAAGACCCCTGTCGAAGAGTGCAGCCGGGAAAGCTGCGGGTGCGGTGCGGGGCCTGCAGACAGACCACGCTCACCTTGGCCCAGGTAAGAGCGCAGCACCGGCCCGTGGGCAAGCAGAGGGGTGCCCGGGAGCCGCCCTGCGGGACTGGAGCATCTCACCACCGCTGAGCAGAAGACACGCTCCCCCGCGGTCCTGACTCACTGTGCCTGGCTCTTTTTAATTCAGACTTGCTTTTGAGTTCTAGATCTTTCTCTATTCTCACAAAGCACGGTCTGCAGGGGCATTCCCCCTTGCTTGATAAAGGCCTACTGGACGGAAGCAACAGGACTGCTTTCATAAGAAACCCAGGGTGGGGTGTGGTGAGGGGCCTCCTGGGAGTGGCGGAGCGGGACAGCTGCGTGGGGACCGGGACAGCTGCGTGGGGACCGGCTCTCAGGGCCCGGGCCTCTCCCTGGTGGATGGGTGTGCGGGAGGATGCGGGAAGTCCACTATCATTCTGTGAAAACGCGGTGCGTCCACAGGTGCGTGCCCAAAGCCACCCGCCCAGGGCCGCGCTTACCGTGTTAAATGGTTGGGGAGAGTCAGAAGGTGAATAGAATTGTAGGATTCTGAGTTCCAGCACCCGCCCTCCCCTTTCGAAGCACCCGTTTCCTGGTACCTATTTTGTTAGGCTTTAACGTTTTTGTTTTTGTTTTTTAAGAATTACACTATTTGTGCTCTCCATATAGTCTGTGCTACTTCAGTTCATTCATTCGTAGCCACTCACTGATCAGCCAGTGTTTACTTGTAGACTGAAAGCACATTCTAGCTACCACAACTGAGGCAAAGCATGCAACCTGTGTTTCCTCTGGGTCTGGCCTGTTTTGCTGAATGTAACTTTTTAATCAAGAGCAATCCTAAATCTGGAATTTTATGTGAAATGTAGTAGCTAAAAATAGTCTCTGTGAGAGAAACAGAAAAATGAAAAAGCAGAAAAACTTGCAGCATCCGTCTAAACATAGACAAGGTAAATAGTAAATAATGAGCAGAGTATTGTAGGTATTAAATGGTACTAGGAGTTAGGTATACAGCAGCGGTAAGAGTGTATGTTGGAGAGACAGCATCATAGGAGACTGCACACATGCCTCACTTTCTCACCCCCAAAAGGGGAAAAAAGAGGCACACAAGCTTGAAAGTTATGAGAACCTTCAAAGAGGCTAGATTCACTAACTATAAGAGGAAAAGAGAACAACTCACTGATCTTTATGTTGTGGTGTGGGTGCTTTTCAATGAGTTGGATGATCTGGCGCATAGCTTCTTGTCGGGAAGGAAGAATCAGGGCTGGGTTGCAGTAGTTGTTGTCCAGGTATAGTGCATGGATCTGCTTCCCTGAAGCCAGGGCTGGCTCCTTCAACATGAATGGTGTATACCGAAAATCACCTGGGTGAGGGGTAGAGGGTAAAGACAAAAGGAAAACATCTATCAACATCTCCCGACAGCTGGGTGTCTGCTTAGAGGGTCTCCGGGAAAACATGGGGCAGCACAGCTTCTCTGTGGGAGGAAGAGTTTCCATCCTCACATTCCCCGCCAGGTCTTGACGGTCAATGTACTTATATAGGATCATAGAATTTTTCTTAGATTAGCTCAGACAAGGGTTTTGGAATGTTAGCCACATCGTAGCTAGTGGAGTTAGACTCTTTATTACCATGTGCATGTGCCTTCTGTACGTGAGTACAGAAAGAGAAGTTGAAGCATGTCTGTCTCCAGCCCATTCACCCCAGGGCTGCTGCTTTTACCACGCAGAACATTGCTCTGAGCCGAAGCCCTGGCTCTGTGCTCCGCTGGACCAGCATTGCTGCGGACGCTGGTCTGATCCATCCATCCATCCAGACTCTGGGCACCGCTCCATCTCCAGTGGCCTCCCCCATGAGCACCTGCGGACTTGTCATCCCCCCAGAACTGGGAACCTTCACTTTTTGAGTCGAGGCTTCTGTTCCCCTTAGGCGATTTACTGCTCTGCATGTCATGATCCCTTTCTTACCTCCTTTCTTCTAGAGCTGTCTGGGCTCTCCTTGGACTCTCTGCAAAATGCCATCTACATCGGTGTACATGCCTTCATTTCCTTTCCCACACCGGGTGCCATCTATGCCCGACGCCCTTTCCCATTTACCTGTTTATATTTCAGGAATTTGAAAGCCTTATGTGGTCAGATAGCTTGTCATTTGGGGTCATTTTTTCTTCAACACTTCACAGTGTCTTCTCCACCAGCAAATTATGGTGAATGAACTGCATCTGTTTTTGAACTTCCATACATTGGTTCACTAAATTCATACCATTTAGAAATTCTATCTGGCATTTTTTAAATCATATTAATTATAGCAATTATGGTGTATATGCTCCAATTTATTGATTTTTCTTATGCTTATATTCTTGTATTTGTGTATATGTCTAATTTTTGTAAGAGACATACAGAGTAGATAGTGTTCTCCAATATTTTAAGCACAAAACTCCAGTGAGATTCAATAAGGTGCTCAAAGCATACAGTTAACAAACATTGGAGCCTGGAGTGAAAAAAAAATTCTCTACAGTTTTTCCAAAGCCATAGCATTTTTCTAGAATATATTGCTCACTATAAAACCTAGGTAATTAATGTCCTACTATCTAACCATTTTCCTCATGCTCAAAATACCTCTGAGAAAGCCAGGTACTGGTGACTCGTACCTATAATCCTTGCTACTCAGGAGGCTGAGATCTGAGGATGATGGTTTGAAGCCATCAGACCCTTATCTCCAACAATCTACTCAGCAAAAGCCAGAAGTGGCCTAATGGTTCAAATGGTAGATCCATAGCCTTGAGCACAAAGAGGCTTAGGGATGCCCCCATTCCTGAGTTCAAGCCTCAGAAATGGCAAAAACAAAACAAAAAAAACCCCTGAAAATACTAGTAGAAAGGAAAATGGAATGGAATAAAGAGGATTTCAAGATAATTTTCTGAATCTGTATTTTAGTATAATTACTAGATACAGCATAACTAGCACATGCCAGAAGAGATCAGACATTTCTATTTGCTCATGCAATGACTGTTCAAAGATCAAAAGCTATATGCAGAGAGTACCCCTGCAGAACAGCTGGCCAGCCCCACTGCTGCACAGCTGCAAGTCTAGGTTTGGCAATGATGGAAGAAGTTTCAATTTCCAGTTCTTTATAAAGATTGATAACTTACATAATTTTCTCTGATAATGAATGTAAAGAGAACATTGGATCTTGTGTGGGTGCATAGTTACAGTGGAGAGCTCTGCGGTTTATTCGAATAGCCAACAGAGATTTTTATACAGAAAAGAAAAGTTGGAAACTACCTAGCAAGCTGAATAATTTTTTATTTGAATAATTTTTTAATGCAATATTGTTTTTCTGCTACCTGGAGAATTGTCGTGAAGAAGTTCTGCGTCTCATGAGTCTTTATAGTCATTTCCTATATGTTATATTGTTGGGAGTTTTTCATAATGCAGCAATTCTCCAAATCTACTTAAATTTTATACTTAACAATAACGAGCTGTTTCTCACATATAATACTCTAGTTTACATCACATTGCCTGTGATACTTGAACTAAATTGACATATGCAGCTTCTGTTCTTGTGGTGTACGTTTCCAAATCTGGGAGTGTAAGGGGTTACCTGACTTTGAGGGTGAGTTGAAGATTAACATGCACCAGAGAAGTGTTCTGACTAGCCCAAGTCTTGAGAAATTTGAGTGCTCACTGGAAAATAGCTCACGTTGCTTATTGTAGGAAACAAAAGGATGGGCATTCAAGTTTCAGCCACCTGTTGAAAGGTGGCGCCACTGAGACCCTTATGGACACTAGTCCAGGTGAGCAAGAGGACAGCTGCTCTCTTCATGGCCCCACGCTGCTGAGGGAGCTGTTTGTTTGTTTGTTGACAGAGTCTCACTCGGAAATGGATAATTTAAAATAAATGGTGTCACTGTTTCAAAGATTTTCCTAGCATGTACTTATTAAAAATAAAGCAAGCTCTATAGAGATTCATGATGTTATTTTCCTTCTCTGTGCCAGTCCTATAGCTTGAACACAGAGCTTGGTGGCTGACGCTGAGCTTTTTCATGCATGGCAAGCACCCTACCACTTGAGTCACACCTGCACTTCTGGCTTTCTGGTTGTTCATTGGAGTTACTGACTTTCCTTTCCCACAATTGTGGCTTTGAACCACAATCCTCATATCTCAGCTTCCCGAGTAGCTAGTAGATGTGGGCCACTAATATCCAGCATTATGGCTCTTTTAAATATTGTTTAATAAGTAGTTATACAAAGGGTTTACACAAAGGCGTTTTGATTCCTGAAGTCAGGTTATGAGTATAATGCACACTCCTTCCATTGTTCTCATCGTTCCCCATCCCATCCCTACCCTCTAGTTACATAGTTCAAAATCTGCAGAATGTACATTGGATATAATGACTTTGTGACTCTTGGCGTGTAATACCTTCCTGACTCCTAACAGCTTCACTGGGCAGTTTTAGTTTGACTAGCTGCACTGAGGCATCTGCCCCTGGGAATAGTTCTGCACCCCCATCCTCACCCTACCTCATCCCTACAGGCACTAACTAACTCATTATGTCCCTCAGGCACTCTTGCCATCCTGGATGCCTGTCCTGTCCCTTCCCACGGCCTCTATCATGCTCCTGCGTACATTCTCTGTGACTCAGGCTTCCTCCAGAAGACAAACCCAAAAGCATCCTGAAATAGGAAGAAACTGACTCTTCTAACTCGAAGTCAGCTTGAAATATAATAAGGATATTTATAGAGCAAAAAAGCCCTTGATTTAGTAATATTTAGATGATAGAATGGATGCAGAGTTAGCTGAAAAAGAATGCAGCGTCTTGTCTCAGAGGGCTTTCCTGTAGGACCCTAGTGCTGGCACAGATGACGCACTGTTCACCTCTGTGGTACCAGCCCTATGTTGCTCAGGTTATCTACCACCAGCATCTTTTTGTTTGCACACAGTTTCTTAGTCTGAAAATTAATCAGAAGTCAGGAGATTACTGCAGCCAAGAAGTTTGGATGATTTTTTCCCCCCACAATCACTATAATTAC